GGAGGTTTTAGGGATGCTACTCATAAATTATGGGAGGATTTAAGGAATAAAGGATTAAAGAACAATTCTTTAGAATTGATTGGAAATTACATATTTTTGGCAGAAAATCAAACTTCAATTGGTGATAAATTTGGTTTTATTTTGGGGAAATTGTTAATTTGGTGCCTTTTGCATGGTGGTGCCTGGCCATCTTGGCTCCATCCTATGCATTTACATTATATTTGTGATAAGAATATTAATTATATTGAAATCTTTAAAGAATTAAATCCAAATATATACAATTGCATCAAAAAATTAGAATCAGGTGATAACTCACATTTTAAAGATGTTATTGATTATGCTAAACATTACAATGAGAATGTAAGTTAATTCATAATAAATCTTTCTAATTATCCATTCCCATTAAGAACTCAAATATTTATTACACATATTTAGAGAATTTTTCAAATCAATCGGAAGGATATTGCAAACCATATTTCAAAATTTGTAATATTGGATAGTCGAAAAAATGTATTAGATGACCTGAAGAAAGGATTTAATTATTTTGATCAAATCCAGGTATTTAAGAATTTTAAATATAATTATTTTAATTTTAATGATCTATATATTAATTAATTATATTTTTGATGTAGACATTGAGAAACATGAATTTTACAAAAATATTATCTGCTTTATATATTAAATTAGAAGGTAAAATGGTCTGGTGCCAATTTGATCATGTATATAATGAAAAAATCTTTAAAAACGAAAAGGCCAAAAGTGAATTATATACTTTGTTAAAAAATTGGGTTTTAAATCAAAATGAAACAACACTTGATAAATTTTTAAAGTTTATAACTGGTTGTAATCGTTTTCCTGTCAAAGAAAAAATCAAAGTAAATATTTTTCATTATTTTATTGATTTAATATTAACCTCTATCAAACTAAATATCCTATATTGTTATAAAAAGGTCCACTGGAGGGTTAGTAATTCAAAAAAAATGTTAGGACGTATTCCAATGGCAAACACTTGTTCCTGTGTGTTGATTCTATGTGAAAATTTTGAATTATCCGAGGGTGATAAAAAAGCTTTTGAAGAAAGTTTGGTGATTGCATGTGAAAATAATGAAGGATTTTCAGAATCCAGCATAATAAAAATCAATTATGATTGTCCAATTTTTCAAGGAATGAATCCATCAATACCTCAAAATCAAAACCATCAACCTTTATATACAAGCAATAATGATAATTTACAATCCAATTTTTCTCATCAACAACAACTACTTAATACATTTGACAATTCACAATCATCAGCTAATTCTAATTTATGTTTTCAACAATCATGCAATATCTTTGATAATCCACAATATAATGTGTCTCATCAACAATTTTTTCCAAATGTTAACTTAAATTTTTCACAACAACCATCCAACAACTTTGTTGAACCACAGTTTAATGTTACTCAACCTTTAGATTACAACTCATTCTCTAGGCTCCAAAATTACAATACTTACAGTTATAATCCTTTAAATCTAACTAATAATCGTCAATTCAATCAGTTTATTAATCAAACTTCAGACAATTTTAACAACAATAAAAAAAGAAAAAAGAATAACAATTAAAATAAATTTATAAGATATGGTTGCTGCTATTTTTTAAAATTGGAAACTGTTTATTTTAAAATTACTATTTTTAGAGTGATAATTCTATTTTTATATATATATATATATATAAAGTTTAAAATATTTTTTTTCTGATTCATTTCATTAAAATTTTAGTTCAATGCAATAAATTTAGTTAACCATTTAAGTCTTACAAATTTAAAATAAAAAAAATATAAACTAAACATATCTTCTATTCAATATTTCTTTAACTTTAGCTATTACATCTAAATAAACATTTATTCCATAATTATTATCTTCTCTATCTATACCCACTGAATTTAATAATTCATGATATTCATTTTGGTTTAAAACATTTCTAGGATCTTCAACAACCACAGCAGCAGCATTATCATCTGAATTTGATGGTATAGGCCCTTCCCAGTCAATCCCATACAGTTCATTGACATTAAAATCTTCCATTCCTCTATATCCACATTCAATCATTCCAGATGTAAATAACTGTAATGGAGTCTGAAAATGTTAGTACGAACTGAATGATTATTCCACCCATCTACAAAAATAATTTAAGGCTTTTATTAATACAATTCAAATAAGTTAAATGCAAACAAAATAAATACACATTATTATCAATATCTAATTCAAAATTTTCTTCTAAATATAGAAAAATAGTTTTATATATCTTTAAAACACATCGATTTATATCACCACATAACCTTTCAATGCGTTGATTATGAACTGAGCGTCCTGCTATAAAACTACCACATCCATACCCTCTATATCTTTCCATAAATTGCTTTACTAAAGCATTTTCACCACCATGATCTGCCCTTACTCTACTTGGAATACCAAATTGTTCTATTCCTTTTTGAAATTGTGTTAAAACAGTAATGGATTTATTGTTACTACTGCAGTTACAAAAAGTGATCATTTGTGAATAACCATCTATTCCTGCGTGCACAACAAATTTCCACCTAATTAGTAAAAATCTATTTCCTGAACTAATTTATGAAGCGGTTGGCGAAAAATTTTACCTACTCCACTCAAAATAAGCAATTCCTCGTTCTGGTAAAGACCATAAACTGAACTAATTTCAAAAAAAAATAGATCTTTATTCCCACGAGCAAGATTGTATTTTATCGTTTTTAAGTGCTTGTGATTTCCATCAATATGCCAAAGTGCATTTGGGCCAGCAACTTGATAAACATGCCTTGGACCATCTTTGTACCATTCCCCAAGCATCAACACGATTTAATGACTCATGTAGCCTTTGACGATGAACACGTATTCCTCTTGAACATAATACACCTGCTATTATTATCTGTCCAGAAAATGGTTGTTCTCTTTGTATGTTTCTGATTTCGTTATCTAAATCGTCATTTGATATATTAGTGTATGCTAAATCATTAGGCAAATTCAATTCAATTCTTCTTCTTAAAATTGTTCTATAAGAAACACCAAATATATCTGCAATTCATATCCATGTATGTCCTTCTTGTTGCAATATTCTAATAATATTTTCATTAATCAATAGTTTTGGTCTTCCTCCATTTTCTTCTCTATATAAAAGAGGTTGTGATGCCTCATTTTGTAAAAGATTGATCCTAGACTCAATCATTTCTTTTAAATTTGATAATTGAATTAATCTATGGTCCACATTATATTACAAACCCCAAATGGACATACATTGAATGCAAAGTTTCAATTTTTTCCAACTGTAATTCCAATGAATTTAAATCTTCACCCTCATGGAGAATACAGGAAGCTATTCTAATTATTTCATCAGCAAAATTTTCAAAATTTCTTTGTTGTTCATTCATTTTAATATTAATAGGCAATAAAAAATAATTAAGGTGTAAAATTGTTTTAGTATAATGAAATATAGCTTAAATCACTGCAAAATTAAAATCTAGTTTTATTATGTTTACAATATTTTTTAACTGGCTACAAAATTAAAAGACAATTCAACAACTTAATGATTCAATTAATATAACAAAACAATTAATATGGAAAGATGTATTCTTTTATTGGGAAGTGCGATATCTGTAAAATAAGAAATATAATTTCTTTATTAATATTTTTTTTTCAATTAGAAATAGATTAATAAATTTGGAAAAATTCATGAATTTTTTTAGTATTTCAATTTAAAATGAAAGGTTTTTCATTTAAAATGTTAATTGCTAAATTTGTAATGTTTTTTTGAAAAAGTGATCCAATTCATGTGATGCCATTTTAAGTAATATTTGTGACATTTAAAATAAAAAATTTTACATTTTAAATAAATTTTAAATCATTTAAAACAGGGATAAAAATATTTAAAATAAAGCCACCCTCATTTTAAATGTCAAATAATGCAGTCAGGATTATTACCAAATATGGAATTTCCAAATACTGTAAGGATAGACAATCTAGAAATCTTTTAGAAAAAAAC